GCAATGATAAATTTATTAGATCCTTGTATTTCAATTTAACAACCATTGCATTAAAGTAAAAATAGCCACAACTGTGGACATCCAAATTATTTGTCGTACTGTGTACATCTTACATACATGCCTAAGTTGTAATGCATATATGTACTATATATAAAACCCATCAAAAACCACGTAATATATGTATGTATGCACTAGCTTACTGAATGCATGAACGGGCAGGTCTATATGAAATTAAAGTGACGAATTTGTTGTTAAGAAAATAGAAAGAATAGGAAAAGATGGTGATATGAATTTTGGCAGTTGTCGGAGGTTACATCATATATTCTCACCAACCAAAGTTTTTTCTTTTTTTATTTTATTTTTATTTTTTTTAGATAATTAAGGACAAGTATGATTCAACATACAAGCAACTAGTAACATTCTAGTTATCATGTCCATTACAGCTAGGGCCCTCTTATTACTCAACATAAAATCCAATGTTGTTGAAGCCAGCAACAATGAAACCAATAATTATTAGAAATATATATTGCTTCAACCGGATGATATATAATAACATGGGACAATAATTTAACAAACGATCGATCTAAAGCCCTTTCTTACCCTAGCTAGCTCTACTTGTCTTCTCTTGCCCTCCAAATTAATTCAAATGTATGTTATGTATTGTCTCATTAGAGACCCCCACTAATTAAAGATTATAGAATCTTTCAATCACTTTACCAAAGAGGAACGTAGCACACGAAGAAATGGCCCTAGCTATGTAGCTAGTTTCGGCAGTGGGATATGTCTAAAATAAAGGGAGTCTGAAATGCATAAAGGCATGATAAAGTGGACCATAACCTTATGCTTTATCTTTTTCTTAGTTCGGAAGGCTAAAAAGCTTAGTGACGGAGATTTCAAGAGAGAAGAGAGAAGGGTGTGTGCTCCACCAATGCAGGCCTTATGACTCATCCACCTTGGATTCACGCTTTGATTCTCCTTGCACGATGAAGACTCATCAATAAAGACTTTCAAAAGTTCAACGTTGTGAGTGAAGTGAGTGGTCCCGAATGTGCATGTTATATTTCTCATAATATCTCGCGAACCAAACTTCAATCTCAAACTGCAAGCATGTCTAAGCCAACTCATGTGACAGGCATTGCATAATTGAAACACACAACTTAATCATCAACTTCTTCCTGTAATAATATACTTTGTCCGCTTCTATATTTTCGTAATGTTTATCTCGTTGCTTCCTCCGCTTATCACGTTCTATTTCTACTTAATTTTATATATCCTCCAAATTTCTGATCAGTTTTTACTTTTCACTTTTGTTTTTTTCTGTTCATTTTCCTTTCGTAGACTTTTTTCTTTTTTTCTGTTTGTGCGTGAGTCTGTCTATGTTTCTTTTCTCTGAAGGGGGTGGGGGTGGAATATAAGAAAAATATTCAATTTAATTAATTAGTGGAGAATTGGAAATTTTGTGAGGTGGGCTCCTTAAACACTTTTGCTTGGTGTGCATAAATATATCATTAATCCTTGAAACATTATGTGAACAATCTCAGCGCGAACTCATTACAAACTAGCTAGAATGCAAAATTATAAGTGAGGAAAAACTAACAAAAGAGAGTAGAAGAATTCAATATATAGTTGTTTAAGTACACAAGACATAGGCATGAGCAATCACTAACGAGCATGTTATGAGTCCAGAATCGGAAGA